CAAATTTAAACCACAATTATATAACAGCCCTTTGTTTCGATTCAATTCGCATTCGTATCAAAATCTACAATCTAAACGCAATTTCAAATATTCAATCATATTACAATCTACTAATACAAAGCAAAATATATGTTTTATTTTTTTCTTACATCATTGTTAAACATTGTTTCATTATTAAACACACGTTCATTTCTCATTATAATATTATTCAATATTACTAAATAATAAAATCAGTTCCAAATTTGTATTTTATGAGCTTGATAAATAATGATACAATTAGCAAATAATTACAAAATCTAATTTTAAATTTTATTATAAAAAGCAATCTTAAAGTTTATTTAAAATTCAATTGAGCAGGTGAGAAATATATGAAAAACAATTATTTACTATAACGATCTTCTTAAAATAAATTTATTATATTGATTTATGTTGTAGCTATTTAAGACAATAGATAATTTTGTACTTTCAAGAATGTTCATATAATTTGAATAAAAACTGTAATAAAATTATTTTTCATTTTTTACATTTTTAAGTTTTATATAAGATTGAATAACCACATTATTTATATATGTATATACAATGTCTTAGTTTATAAATTTTAATAATTTAATAAATTATAAATTATATACTGCAGATTCCTTTTCTATTTCTTAAGCTCTAATTTGTAAAATGGATATTTCCTATTAACTATAATGCAAAAGTAATTTTCTTAAAAAAAATCATAAAATTAAGTTCAATTTTGACATAAATTGAGCAAAAAACGATTAATGAGTAAAGACATCGATCTTAGTAAATATTTGTTGGAATTGGAATAGAAATCAATAATTTTATTTTCTTCGATATTTTGAATAATCATTAAGAAAATATTAGGACAAAGTTTTACACATACGTTTGTACTATTAAATTTCAACACTCAAATCTTATACAATCATTATGGGGATAATAGGTTTTTGATCTAATTTACTATGTTTATTATATCAAAATTTATTTACATTATATAACTAAAATAACTAATAGTAAATTATTGTTCTGCAGATGATAAACTTTCTAACATTCTCGGTTTATATTTCATAAACATTTTTTTAAAATTGAAACTTTAATTTAATTTAAGATAAAATATTTCATTTAGCCTACAATTTCTGAAAGATTGAAAGACAATTTTCTACAAATATGTTTTTTTTACTGTTTCTATTCCTCTTCTCGAATTCAGCATTACCTAAATTCACGTACACAAATTTGATTATATCACTGAGGAATTATCTTAAAAATAAACCTAGAATGTATGGTCTATAAACAAAACAAAATCTCCTACATTCTAATATAAATAAAGCGTTAATCTCCAATTTGTATAACACTTCTTAGAATAAACGACCTTACTAGTCTTATTTAATATCTATTTAAATTTTTAATGTCATTAAATGACAGCTGTCATCTTACGTCATATCGTCAAACAAAAATTATCTATTAGGACAGAATACAAAATTTTTAAACAAATTTGTTGGGTGACGCAAAGGTTAAGAAACTCTGATCCAGATTGAAAATTAGAAAATTGAAAAAAATATTTCTAAAAATAGAAACAATTTCGTAGTCATATTTATTATCTAGATCAGCGTTCCTCAACCTATTTTCAATGGCATTAAATGACAGCTGTCGCCTTATGCCAAATCGTCAATAATGGTATCTAATAAACTATTGATCTAGATTCTTAATCAATTAGATATGTTTTTAATGGGTCACAAAAAATGACAGCTGTCACCTTACGTCAAATCGGCAAAAAATTATCAAATAAACTATTTGGACGGAATACGACTATAATATATACAAACAAATTTGTTGGGTCACGCAACAAAAAGGTTAAGAAACTCTGATCCACATTGCAGATTGGTCAGTTGATGAAAATATTTCTAAGAAAAAAACAAGTTTATTATATAGATTACTTTTTTTTTAAATATTAGAAACAATTTGTATACCATTTCTTAGAATCGATGATCTTCGCAGTTATATTTATTATATAGATCAGCGTTTCTCAACCTATTCAAATTTGTAATGGCTTGAAATGACAGCTATCACCGTACGTCAAATCGTCAATAACGGTATCTAGTAAACTACTGGGTTGTAATACTACTACAAACAAGTATATTAGGTAACGTGATAAAAAAGTAGAGAAATGCTGATCTAGATTCTGAACTAATTAGTTAATTTGACAGCTGTCACATTACGTCAAATCGGCAAAAAAAATATCTATTAAACTATTTGGACGGAATGCCACTACAAAATCTACAAACAAATTTGTTGGGTCACGCAGCAAAAAGGTTAAGAAACTCTGATCCACATTGCAGATTGGTCATTTGATGAAAATATTTCTAAAAAAAAAACAAGTTTATTATATTGATCAATTTATTAATAATATATATATACTCACCGCAATTGCAGATAAAGTTTCTATTTTTTTTTCTCTGTTGAAACTAAGAAATTAAAAGAAACAAAGACATTTTTAAACCACATTTTTATTTAATTCGCTTATGAATGAACGAATGTATGTGAGTCTCACAAATCAATTTTCTAAGACTTAAAATCTGCGTTGTTCATTTCCTTATTCCCATATTCTTGTATTTTCTGTTTATCTCCTTATTACATCATGCATTCAGTAAAAACTAATGAACTGTTAACACTTTAAGCCCGGCATCAACAAAAAAAAAGAAAGAAATACTCCTCCACCACACATCGATTACAAATTACAGCACATTTATAGTAATAGTATTATTATGATGATAGTTATGATAAAGTTCGCTATTATATTTAATAATCCCTCTTCTTTTTTTTAGCATCTACCCCTTTGCATCCTCTTGCAACAATCACAAGAAGCAAAAGGGAAAAAAACCAAGACTGAAAGTGTTAACGAAATTTAAAATTTCTTATTTTTTTTTTGGTTCCTTTTCATTTTATTTCATAATTTTTTTTATTCCCTTTTCCAAGTTTTAAATTTTATTTAAAATATTATATAATATAATTCATTTATAGTTTCATAACTTACAATATATATATATATATATCATCTTTGTATTTTTTTTCTCTCTTTTCTTTGTATTAGTTTTATTTTAGTGTATAATTAATGTTTTATACCCGCACAATGTGTAATTAATAATAATCTCCACTAAAACTCGCTTATTCCTTTCATCTATATACAATTTACGTAAAACTTCAATTACAACCCATTCAAATATATAACTTGCATTATTATTATTTTATATTTTTTTTTCTTTCTTCGTCTTCTTTTAATTCATTTCTCGAATGATCACAATTTTTTTCCTCTCCAAAATATCTAAATCAAACAACAACGTTTCGACGATCCAAAGGAAACTTCAACGTTCCAAATCCGAATTCTCGTCTATTCGTTTCGTTGTTGGAAATACAAGTTTGTTTGTTTTTGTTTAGGAACTTTTGGATTCTTTCTGTTCGGATTCGAACAATTGTAGTTTCCTTGATTCGTCTCACTACAAACAATATAATACAAACAATTCCAAATTACATAACAAAACAACGCCTTAAAAATATCTATTCTCACTATAAAGAAAAACAGTTAGAATTCCCTTTACTTTTTGCTTACAAATTATAATAATAATAGTAGCAGTATTAATACTGATAAAAGATACAATCACAATTTTTCAATTTCTTTATGTTCATTAAAATAAGATCACTTTTTGTACATGCACGACACTTATCTTTGTCTTTTAGTATTATATTTTATTACTTCTTTTTTAATATATTTATGTTATTTATATTCTCTTCTTCCTATACTTGTGTTTCACACAACTAACTATCCTCTACAACAGCGTTTCTCAACTTTTCTTTGTAGCTGTACCCAATTGCTAAACACTAGTTCACCAGTTCATTGCTTTTGACACATGATGACAGCTGTCATTTCGCGACGCTTTAGTAAAAACAAATTTCGGTTATATAACAGTTGAGAAACGCTGCTCTACAAAATCTGGACAAACTACGAAATCAATATATCTCAATATATTATTTTTTTTGAATCAATGTACAATTTACAATAAGGACGGTCGTATAATTAATTATTTCACTTACTAAACTTATAGAAAATAAGAAACGTATCGCAGGCTCTAATATATTTACTTAAAGTCGTCTTTAAAGGAACGTGACGGGAATTGCTGTTGGATCTAATATCAAATGGAATTTCGAATGCAAAATTATTGTGGTGTTCAATGTTTAGAGCAAAATCGAGCCATTTTCATGCACGTTCTTCGAATGCAAATGTTGTTTATTTCATTGGAATCTCGCCTATCGCATTTTTTCTTCTTCTACGCATTTCTCGCTGTTCCTTTAATTTCATATTCTAAAAGAGTCTATCTGCAGCGGAATGTAGGTTCTGCATGGCCTAGCCCACTCTCATTGCATTCTTTTAACATTTATCTTCCAATACAAAAAAAAACTGTATACAAAACGAAGAATTTTTCTCAATTACCATTAATTTCTCACATTTAACAATAATAATATTATTTACAATATTTAAATTGAAATAAAAATCTGTTTAATTTCACTAATGAATTATTAAAACTATAGACAATTATCGTTTTTTAAATTGTTCAGTAGTTTGTGTTAATTTTAATTGAATCCTGAAAGAAAAAATATTGATTTAAATGTAATAATTCAACGTTTGAAATCTTAAACTTATTATAGAACAAAAAATCTAATTTATGATATATTAATACAAAATAGTGTAACTTTTTTATAGGAATTAGTAAACTTTTACTAAAATTTTAAAATATTTAATACATTTATCTTATACTGTATATATTTAATAAACTTAATAAAGAAGTTAAATATCATATTTCTATGTATGAATTAAAATAGTAATTAATGTAATTAAATATCAATGATTAACATTCTTTTTTTCTCATGTGCTTTATGTACCTTTTAGTTAAACTTAATAAAATAACTAATATAAAATTTCTATAAATTAATTATAAATTGTTGTGTTTCAATAAATATATTAGAGCCTGAAGCGAATTCGTAAATCCTTCGCATATTTGTATAAAATAAATGGCAAATATAATGAATTTGATTCACAATTTGTACCCTAAAATAATGTGTTTTTTATGCACGCGAAACGTCAGTTATAACAGCAGCAAAACGTGCAGCGCAGAGACAGGACTCTCTCACATTTAGATGAGTATCATACAGCTCCGTACTCGCTCTCTGGAAACGCTTTTAAAGACACCAAAAGCTGATGAACAAGATGACGATCTCCGCACCATAGCGATGTTTATCTAATTGGTGGATAAATTTATGTACATCCAGTGTGAGTTTGCAAATATGAGGAACAAAACGTTTCCAATTAATTAGTGTTGCAAAAAAAAATATGAATACGTACACTCTTCAAAAGTTATGTATTTTCATTCCCTCCTCGTCCCACGGCCTTTATTTACATAATAATAAAGTGGAGCTAATTAATTGGTCGGGAATGTTTCTCGAGCGATTCTGATCAATTTACAAAAATAATAAAAATCAACAGCTGCGCTTCTTCCTTAAAATATTATTATAAAGCCATCCCCAAAAAAAAACGCTCCGCAGCAGTGGTTATTATATGTATTATTTTGTATTCCACGCGTCCTTCTTTTAGTTTGATTTATACAACTACACCTTTCAATTAAAATTGTTCCCAGCCTTCGGAGAGCGAAAACTGTTAATGATGCAATTGCGAAATTGTTATTTAAGTGAGCCTGGTGTGTGTGTGTTTGTGTATATATGGTAAGAAGAGGAGAGTCCAAGAAAACTGGAGTTTGCGTTTCTAAGAAGACTACTCTGATCTTCCTCGTAATTTTCATAAAAATATTTTTTGGGAGGAACCATATAGTATATGTAGTATGTGTGTGCGCTCGGATCGCATGTTGGAATAACCTGACTTGACCCATGGGTCTTTAAACTGTAATAAAAGGACAGAACAGGTTTCGCACTCTTCTTGCACCTCTTCTTCTCCTCCTCCTCACCTACCCAAAAAACTAAGAACCACAAAACGAGCAGCAGGAGGCGGCTGCAGCGGCGGATGAAGAGGAGGAGAATGTGAGGTAAGATGAGGCAGGAGCGCAGTTTACACCCTTCCAAATAAAACAACGTCAGAAATTAAATTGATACCTACAAATATTTGCATGGGATGCCAACGCCTCCTCCCGCTCCGGCCCAAAACGGCGTACAACAAACCGAAGAATTCCTCGCAGCTGCCCCCAAAGACGAAGAAGCAAAAAATAAACGAACGAGGCGAAGGACAATCGAGCGAGATTTATATGGGATCGGATGCCTTTTGTTTTGCTCTCGTCACCGTGAGCGAACGGCTCAATCATCTCCGGTGGCGTCGCCCGATCTAATTTGCTCCTCGACATCCTCCACCCGTTTCACGGACAGATCCGAGAGCAACGGGTCCATCTGATCGGAAGTCCTGGGACTCTTGTAGACGGCGGAGGTGATCTTCGGTTTGCTGCTGTCCTCCAGCTTCTGCGGCGGTTCATCGTTGATGTAGCCACTGTACGTGGGATAACCGTAGAAGCCGTTATCGTATCCTTGCTGATTCCCATAGCTGTAGCTTTGGTTGGCCAAGCTCTGATTCGACTGCGATAGTCCGGTCCTGCACGTCACCATCTCCTGCACTTCAGGCGAATCCTCTCCTGAATCTCCGGAATCCTCCTGATAGTAACTATCTCCAAGTTGGTCTTCCTCGCTGTCCCTAGATAAACCAAAATTAAAATAAACTTCAAATTATGTGCAAGAATAAAGAGCCTCACGTGTCGGGTTCGTTGTGCACAAGCGCGCATTGGTGTTTCTGATGCCTGTAATTATAGTTAGCTCCTCTCATATCGTCAGCCCCATAAGCTCCGCCGCTCGGACTCCTCCTCACACCCTGCTGCACTTCAACCACGAACACGCTATCCCTCGCACCTGGCGAATACTTCATAGTCGTCTCTCTGCTGTCCTCCTCGATATCCTAAAACCAAAGAGCGACACGTTACGAAAATAATCCATTCCCAACAAATGCGAAAAACAATCAAGGCAACAGCACTAAAAAAAACTATAGTTTTACGGAAGGTTACACATAGAAGAAGCAAGTTTTTTTAAAGCGAACAAGTAGGGTATACAGTTAGGTGGTTTTTCATTTGGAAGTGAGTGTGAAACACATAAATTAAAGTCTGACTTTCATACGTTTCTCTCCTCTGTCTCTACAATTAGATGATTATTCTTCAGAGTCATAGTAATGATACTTCCATTTGTCGTCGAATGACTGTTGCCGGTTTCTTTGATGCCATTGGTGATGGCCCCGTCGCAGATTTCCTCGGCGCTATTGCACACGTGAGACTCGACCAGCTGAAAACGAAATTACATAATTCCAAGTGTAACTCAAAATTGCACATCATCATCATCATCATCAGAACATTGTCCTATATTTCCGGGGCACTCTTGCGGTGTCCTCTTTTTTTTTCCCCGACAAGCACATAACGGTACACACACAATTATATAATGCGGTAATTCTCCAAAAAGAAAAAAAAATGTATAAATATTCAAATTGCTCGTCCTTTTATATAGATAATTCGGAGCCGGGAGACAAAAATAACAGAAAGAGAGATTCGCAGTGGGGAAAAAGCGCATGTAAATGTGGTTTGCGTGATGGCATTTCAATGATAACATTTGTTACGAACCCTCGGAAACAGGACTAAATGACCTGCTGCTGCTGCTGCTTCATCGGAAAAAGACCCAATTTGAATAAAATAAAATGAGAAATAATAATGCAACAAGAATAAAAAAAAATAATAATAAAGAAGAATATGGAGGAGGAAGAGGAAGCACGAAGAGGTGGATTCGAGAAGGAGGATCAAACAAAAAAAAAACAAAAATATTACGTGAAATGGGCACCGGGCCAGGGTTTCTTCGAATTCGCCTGCCCCTTCCGAGAATCGGGCGTTGCGTAATTATTAAGGGATCTCGGATGGTCAGAGGATATGTCGAATATAATTTCTCTTTGTTTTTAAGGATAATGGCCAAATATAGGACGACTGAGGTCAAGTAAACGTATAGGAGACGAGAACAACGGTATTGCTGCAGCCTTCTTCGACTCGCTTTGCTTCTCCATTCCTTTTCTCCTCTCATCACATCTCATTCCTTTCTCTCCATCTTTCTCTTTCACTTTTTTTTCCTTCTTCTTTCCTTTCTGTTCGCTCGGATCCTTTATTGTTTCGTTTCACCATTAAATATGATGTTTCAAACTGCAATTTGCTCGACTGCCAAATTGATATTAACTGGGTCAGCTTTTAACATTTTTTATTTTGTTTTGTTCGTTTTCATTCTTTTTTTGTTTCTCTTGCCTTCTTCCATTCCCACCCTTAACACGACACCAAAATTACTTCGACACCATTTCCATAGAAATGCAATATAAACAAAACAAAACGAAAGTAAATAAAATTAAACAGAAGAAACAATCATTTTCTTCTTTTTTTTTTACAAAACGAATCAATGACCTCTTGTTTATCTAACTTTAAAAATAAAAAGTTGTGACATTTCGGTATGATTTCATTGGAATAAAATATTTAGAATAAACGTCTAGACATGTAGTTTGTATATGAATTGCGTAAACATTCGCCGATGACACACGAATAATAAAACCCAAGGAAAAAAGCATTACACACAGAATGCACTTCCTTTATTGATCGCAAACTAAATATATATATATATATACACAAATAAGATTTACAACAATGTAAGGATGATTGTTGGAATAAAGTTAAATGAAACATATTTTATAGGATCGAAAATAATACGAGTCCTTCAAGGCTAATTATTGGGTTTTAGAATAGCAGCGCAGACGTTCATTTCCTCCTACTTCCTTAATAACACACATTTCAGTGGACATGGGAGCTTCTTTGTAATTCTAATATTTGTATTTAATGGCGACCCTAAACAAGACAAATTTCACAATTCGTTTTTTTTTCGATTCTTGGAAACGTATTTTTTTTTGTACACACATCGACTAAATCAAAATCCTCATAAAGCAACAAAAAAATACAACATTAATTTATTTATTCTTATTAAATCAAAAGATTTATTAGGAACGAATGAACTTGTTTGTGTCTTTGATGACTTAGGTGATATGAGAAAACAAACAATACTATGGGATAAGTAATACCAACGTCACCGTTGATAAACAATAAAAAAAATACGTTACGAAATATTTCGATGAGATATTGCCAAAGTGCACAAAAAAAAGAAACGGGTCGAGTGTGTGTGAGAGAGAGAGAGAAAAGATGCATGTTTTCGGTTGATGTTAGAAATTGGTTGAGAATTGTTGAATGCATCGTTGCATTTATAGTATTGACGTCAAGTGGAAATGTCGAGTAATTTCACACCATCTCATTTCAATGCAAACTGACCACGGTTAATAGTCTAGGAGGATGAAGGTCAAGGCTGTCAGAAGGCCATTCGTATACATACTGGTAAATACAACCGCGTTTGCATTGTCTTTACTTTATTGGCTAGAGACTAAATGAAACGAAATAAAAATCCAATTACCAAAGAATTTCTTGAGTAAATTTCAATGTTCTCCATTATTGTAATATTTACTAACATACAGTGTACGCTTTATCATATGAAACAACAACAACAACAAGTGTTAATGCGTATAATGACAGTAATTGGTACTTAGCAAACTATAAAGTAGCTTGTTGAATGAGCGTCGAAATTATGCGTTGTCTTGAGAATAATCTCTAATACAATTATGTGATATAATTGGATTAGCAATTCGCTTAGGCCGTAGTAGTACACGATTCAACAAGTTGCATTCGAAATGAGCAATGTTTGACGCCTCAAATAACATTGGCCTACTTGACCCAATGTACATTGGAAACCTTGAATTTTCGTATTTACTTTGCATACTGTCTGTTTTACATTTCGGTAACTTTACTGTCTAATAGATACATGTCTAAAATATTTTAACAAATTTTAAATACAATTACAGCTTTCATTTTTACTGTTTTCATTTCAATCAAGAATAGAAGCAAATATTATTGATTAATGGAAATATCAATATTGTTTCGAAAATTGAGTAAAACTTTCAAAACATTTAATTCTCAATAAAATAAAAATATTATACCCATATGAAAATACATTTTTTTGTACAAGTTGAGAAAAATGGATTAAGTTAAAAGAATATTCAAATAACAACTTGATATTTGTAGAAATGTATACATCAAAAGACTTATAAACTAAGGTCATACGATTCCCAAAAGAAAACAGTTTAAAAATAATAAAAAAACTCGTAAAAAAAAGCAATTTCTTTATATACATATAAACATGATATAACTTTTACAGTTGTTGACTTCAAAATTATTTAATTTAGGATAAAATAAAACTTTTTTTTGAGAAATTGTATAAAGAATTACAGCCTGGAAAAAATTCGTACATATTTAATTTTTTTAACAATTTTTACAGTTTCTAATTGTAATTAGTGAAGTAAATGTTAACAGTTAAAAGAAAAACTTCGTATTAATAAAAAAATAACATATTTAAATTTAACATTGTTAAAATTTATAAATATTTCTCAAAAATATTTCAATATCAAAAATTTATTATAACAAATTCGAATTAGTTTGAAGCATATGAAATAATAAATTGAAAGTAGATTTAAAATTATCGTTATTGTACAGAATCCTAATGAAATTTTCAAGTTTACCAAATTTCTTCATTATTTTGGCATTCTTTTTAAACTCATATCTATAAAGTTAAGTAATTAAGTAGTTAAGAAATTAGTATATTTATGTCGAATTCCTTCTTGAAATTAGTTTAAAAGCATTAAATATTCTAATTACTTCATTATTTTGGTATATATTTTAAAACAAATTTGTATTGATTTAGAAATAGTGTAAATGTATCAAAATTATAATTGTACTTAATTCTATTTATACATTATCTTCATTTATTTGATGGTATCATTATACCATTGCGTCTACAACATGAAGAACTATTATTGGTTATATATTGGTGCTAATAAACTATAATTATGTCTCTTGTATAGTGTGGAAGAAGGTTTATAAAAATTGTTATGAAATCATGAAAATAAAACTGAAAGTTTTTCAGAGGAGAGAGATGATTCAATAATAACGCGTTTAAATATAGCAGCAAACGCGTCGCGTGTGCTGTGTGAATTGGAAGTGGAAATGAGTCTGGTTACGGTCCTGCTCGATGGTGAGCAATTGATGAAAGAACCAGTGGGCTTGTATTTTCGTCTAGTCACTATTATTGCATAGATAGCAACACATTAAGCAGCTCGAAAACAAGTCTCGCAGAGTTTATTCACACTGCCTGCATCGGTGTGAGTGCGTTCGTTGTGTCCGTGTACGAGTGTGTGCATATGTGAACGTGTATGATATGCACCGCGGATTCGGCAGAATTTGGGGTAGACCCACCGGTCTATAGTCGCGCCGTCCGCTCGCAAACCTCAACAGCGTAGGAGAGACAAGGATGGGGATAAGTGCAAGTCCGTGCAGTCGATGTACGAGCGCAACATTCCGTTGACTTTGCGAAAGTCAAATGCGATTAGAGACTCTGCCCAGTTCAACAAAAAAAAAAACAATAAAAAAAATATATGGGGGGAACCGAAAGGGGGGACGCCCAAATATTTTCGGCGCGGCACTGTCTCCCCCCCTTGTCTCTCGCAGCCTTGCACACACACATATTTGTATGAGCATGCATATATATATATATATATACACACTAAAATATTCTTATGTATAAGTGCGCTGCTTTTTTTTTTGTAGACCATATTAATTTTTCGTACACGTCGTATGCGGCTCTCGTTGCAGTCGATGTGAATGGACTTTGCTTTGCTAATAAATATGAATTTGATAATTTTTTTTCCCCCCTCGACGGATTCCGTCCGTCTGTGTGTGCACATGCACACGAAAAATGTTCTTGTAGACTTTACAAAATAATATTTATAGTTGGTGTATCGACCTCGTGTTTATTCAAACTAAAACTCCTTTCCTTCTTCTTCGCATCTTCTCAAGCTTCTTTCTTTTCCTCCACATTATTTATATTAATGTGCACATTCGCCCATCCGCCATGACTAACAACCTAAAAACGTACGAGAACAAACAAAACTACAATTTCAAAATATCAATTACAATCCGCAATTATTTAATTAATTAGCCTTAAAACCCTTAACCCACTTTCTCGATCCTAAAAATAATCAAGCCTTAAGTCAGAGAAAAAGAGAGTAAACGTAACGCTTCGTTTTACGTTATTATTTTCAAAATTATTTAATTTAAGACAAAATAAAACTTCTTTTTGGGAAATTTGTACAAATAGTCACAACCTGG